TCCAATCAATCCCTACTATGCAATGACTGGATGGTTGTGATTTCCATCTCCACTTACTCGTATGCATGGAGATAGCCTCTAAAAATTGGAGTTTCATCAGCATTTACTAGGTAAGATTCCATTTACAGAGGACCAGGAACAATTGCCTTATTTTAAGAGCAGTGGGATTTACTTATGAATATTTGGGGGTAGAATCTAATTTGTTCTATTTATGGAATCCTAAGCCATTTGAGGGAACTTTGGAAAAAGTATACTGATTAATTTGCATTGAAGCTATCTTCAGAAATAAATCTGCATGGATATACTCCTCAGTATTCTTTTTTTAACATAAAGGTATCTATGAGTTTTTTTCTATTTTTTTCTTTTTTTTAGCTGTAAAGAGGCACATTCCAATCCATTTAATGACATTCACCTCAAATGCTTTTTGAGTTTGGGATTTATTTAAGGCAGGAGAACTAAAGCAATCCAGATGAGTGCCCTTTTTCCTGTATCACTCCTGTGTGGGCAGAATTGGTGACACTATTCAGATGCCCTAGAGGACTCCAACAGGATCCACCAGGCACTTGTGTCTCCTAGAGTTTGGTTTTTACAAAAGGGCTTATTAGAATGGTTGATGTGTTTTGAATAAAAATACTCTTTCTATCAAGTATAACTTAAGAATAAGTTCCAACTCTGGAAATAGAAATATTTTCAAAAGGGGAATGGATGTTTTCTCTTCAGCAGCTAAGAAAATATATGTGACAAGCAACATATGGCAGACTTATACTTACAAGCGCATACACATATATTCTCTCACATATTCCTTCTCAATAACTGATTCTTTCCCCAATTTAGACATTAATTTATCAGAAAAAATGTCAGAGGTGGACATAAATCTATAGTTCCAGATTTTGTCCATTTTCAATTTCTCTATGCCTAAGGAAATATAACTCTGGCATGAAGACATTTTCACAGTTGGTGTGTGTGACTGTGGGGAGAAACAGGAAGCTGACAAGGCAATTCACCCTGGGTTTGGCCCAGGGCACAAGAAAGGAATGCTGCCTTCACACGTGGCAGGATGCAATCCCCAAGGGCAGCACCCAGCCAGCCACACATGGGACTCGCAGGATGTGGCAGGTCAGAGCGTGCATCAGACAAAGGTGCAGATTAGCCACAGGGGAGCACTTAGAAAAACTTAAAGCATTTCTTTTGTTTTATGTCTTGGTTCAGGCATAAAAGAATCTTTGGCCACATCTCATTGGTTCTGCTGACTACTATTGTCCTTTTACCATCTCCTTGAGCCTGGTGAAAACTCAGGGTTCCAAATTATGGTCACCTGGACAAAGAAGCACTTGCTGGCATGTGTTTCACATAGAAATCCCCAGCCTGTGAGGGGCTGGCGGAGAAGATCACCTTTTGGGCCTGCCCTGGAGCAGGGCACACACTGAGTGCACTGCTGACTTCAGAGGCCAGTGCTGCCTTCCTGCTGTCCCCACATGTAGGAAGAGATGGACCACAAGATCCCCAGCAGGGGTGCTCTGATCACAAGTACCCATCACAGTTAGGGTGTCCTAACCATGGGAAAACTGTGGGGGAACTAGATTTTGCCTTAATGCTTGGAAATTTTTCTTTAAATTCTGCTTGGTGGATCACAGCCAGAGCATGGCAAACTTCCCCTTCCTCCCCTCCCCCGCTCCCTTCCTTCCTTTCTTTCATTCCAGGGATGGAACCCAGGGTGCTTAATAACCACTAAGCCATATCCCCAGCCATTTTTGTGTTTTATTTTGAGACAGGGTTCTGCTAAATTGCTGAGGCTGGCTTTGAATTCACCATCCTCCTGCCTCAGCTGGGATTACAGGTGTGCACCACCACACCTGCCATGAACATCTTTTTATTCTGCGTCATGGCCCAAATCCTGAAGGCATCCGTTGAGGTACAGGCTTTGTTGGGAGACACAGGCCTGGTGGCTTCTGGAGCTCCTTCTCCTTGTTGGTGCACAACTTCAGCTCACACTGTGTGAAGAGCAGCGAGGTTTTGAACATGGGCTAAAAGACAAAGCTGAATTACTTATCTCTCTTGGCTTGTGAGATAGGAAAGTGCACTCTCTTGGGGCTTGTAGAATTCAGACTCATCTTTAGGACCAAAGTTTGCAATTATGGTGTAATCAGACATCCTAAAGCATCAAAGCAGCACATTCATGGAGTCCTGCTTAATTGGTGAGCTACACATTCATCTTAAGTCCTGCTCGGTAGATGAGCAGGCAGAGCTGGCCTCTGGTGTTGGATGTCAGGACAGTGCAACCTGGAGGCCACCATGGACCTGGAGAAGTGTCCCAGCTGCTCACAGGACCAAATCATGAAACTGCAACTTTTACTCTAAGAAGCTCCATAAACACCCTTACCTTTACTTTCCATGCCTGTTTTCCTTAACATAAATTCCTAAATTCTTAAAAAGCCAAGCATCTTAGAGTATCAAGTCTAGATGATTCATGCTTACATACATTGCTGGCTTACACAAGCACTTTTTTCAGACTAAATAAAGCTAAGGGAAAATGCTGTTAAAGACTTATGAAACAGGTGTATGCCAAACATCATCTATTAACTAGATGCCCTAACCCAGACTCCCTGAAAGACCAGACCCCAGTCCATCAATAGGAGAGCTGAGCCAGCTGGAGGATGTCACTCCCACATACTTCTCATGGCATTGTTTACTACATTTCCTCTAAAAAAAAAAAGAGCCCAAGACCCCAAAGCACAATTCACTCCTTCTGAGTGTGTGTCCTGCTCTACTGATGCTTTCCTGAAGAAATCTGCTTTCCTTTTTTTAAAAATCCTTTTTAATGCCTCTTTGACACTTCCTGAAATTCCTTCCAGGGTGAGGTGAGATCCCCTTCTCCCTTCTGGGGGACTTCTTGGACCCCTCTCCAGTGACAGTGGGCAGCTCTGCTGCTGGGAAGACACATCGTCTGGTGCTGGTGGTGACTACTGGGAACGTTGCTCTGGACCTCCCTAGTTCCAGCTCCCAGACCCCTCCCAGGCACAGGCCCCTGGATAATTTATGCCTCAAATGCAGATTCCTTATTATACCACAACATCATACATAGCAATGGACATATTACATGAATTAAAATTGAAAATTTTCATATTTATCATTCCTAGAAGGATTTTTTTGAGGGGAGGGGTCTCTTTCAAATTACTTGCCCCCCCCCCAGTCTCTTGCTCTCTGGTGGTTGTTACTTTGTTTCTTTTTTATTTCTTTAAACACATAAGATGTAACTATTTCGAGCCTGATAATACCAGTGCTGCAGTTTTCCAGCTATGGCTGTGGCTGCCCAGCCCAGTGGTTCTCACTCAGCAATTTTCTTGTGCTCTGTGACATTTTGGGCTATGGATTCTCTGTGTTCTTTCAAAGCATTTGTGGGAAGTAGCTGAAACCAAACTTGTGTTTCTCCAGGGAACATTTGCGGTGATTCATTTATCAGATTGAACCCTAGTTTTGTTACATGGCAATCTGAGAAAGTCTTTAAGATTACTTTTTTTTTTTTTTTTT